GAGGGCTGTAGGGTCCCCGAGCGGAAAGTAAGGTGTTGTTCCTCCAGCTTGCGTTGGGCTTCACTGGAACTGTAACAAGCCAGAGACAGAGATGTTGGCCAGGGAGCAAGGTGCTGCATTGAAGTGGCAGGCAACAGGTAGTTCAGGGTCTTTTTTGCAAGCGGAATGTAGATGTTCTGCGAAGCGGTTGCCAAGTCAACGCTTCGTTTCCCCAATGTAGAGGAGACCACGTTGTGAGCAGCGAATGCAGTAGACTAGATTCTTGCAAGTACAGGTGAAATGTTCATTGAGAACATTAGTCACCTCAATTTCACTGCCCCTCTCAACAAATCCAACCTATCTCCCTCCGAACTGACTGCACTCCGTGCACTCAAATCTAACCCTGACTTTGTCATCAAGCCAGCCGATAAGGGTGGTGCTGTTGTTGTCTGGCGCACTGACCTCTACCTTGCCCTGGACCATGACTCCACCATGGCACATCAGGCCATTGCATCCACTACGGTTACGGATCTCATTTCATCCAGTGATCTCCCCCCATCCGCTTCCAAGCTAATAGTCCCCCACCCCCACAAAGCTCGTTTCTACCTCCTGCCAAAAATCCACAAACAGGACTGTCCAGGTAGACCCATTGTTTCAGCCTGCTCATGCCCCACAGAACTCATCTCTTCCTACCTTGACTAAGTCTTCTCCCCCCGGTCTAATCCCTACCCACATACATCCATGATTCATCTGACGCCTTACACCGGTTTCAAAGCTTCCAGTTTACCGGCCCCAGCCACCACCTCTTTACCATGGATGTGCAATTCCTTTTACACATCCATTCCCGACCAGGAGGATCTTAGGGCTCTCCGCTTCTTCCTGGAGCAAAGACCTGAACCATCCCCACCCACCACCACCCTCCTCCACTGGGAGCTTGTCCTCACCCTCAACAACTTCTCTTTCAACTCCTCTCATTTTCTTCAGGTAAGAGGGATTGCCATGGGTACCCGTATGGGCCCTAGTTATGCCTGTCTCTTTGCGGGGTATGTCCAAAGTCCACAACTGCATGCTTAGGGAAACACTAAAGGTGTCACCAAGGCGTAGTGGGGAAAGACCATAGTCTAGGATCTTTCTGCCAAAGTATATGAGGGTCCGTTCAGTTGTCAGACCTCTTATTGCCTTAAATGGATGTAAATAGATTCCTTAGTGTGTAGAAAATGCCTGTTTTGCAACTATAGGGAAGCTCTGAAGAATGTGTTATTTTTTCACGGAAAAATTACAAGGTCACCGCTCATAATCTTTCAGTTTTCTCTTGACTCAGGGGACGTGTCAGAAGACTGGTGAATTGCGAGCTTCGCACTCTTAAACAGAAAATGTTGTAAGGATAAAAGCAGCTGTTACTGACTAGTCAGCTTTATTTCAGTGTGGGAGAAGCCTCATGAAACAATTATTTAAGATAGAATTGATAGTCACATGGGAAAAGTTGGGTTGATTAGGAAGAGCCAGCACAGATTTCTAAAGGGAAAATTATATTTAACTAACTTGTTGGATGTTTTTGAACAGGTAACAGAAAAGGTCAGTGAAGGTAATGCTGTTGATGTGGTGTGCATGGATTCCTAATTATTAAAAACCGAAAGAACTGTGGATGCTGTAAATCAGGAACAAAAATAGAAGTTGCTAGAAAAGCTCAGCAGGTCTAGCAGCATCTGTGAAGAAAAATCAGAGTTAACGTTTTGGGTCCAGTGACCATTCCTAAGAACTGATGGTAGCTAGGAAAATGTCAGTTTATATGCAGAAGATGGGTTGGGGGTTAAGGAGTAAATGATAGGTGGGGATAGAGCCCAAAGAGGGAGAAGAGCAGTTGGATTGACGAAGGAATTTATAACAATCTGGAAGGAGGTCAAATTGTTATCACCATCTTTGTCTGTCCAACTGCTCTTCTCCCTCTTTGGGCTCTATCCCCACCTATCATCTGCTCCTTACCCCCTGCCCCTCCCCACCTTCTGCATTTAAACAGACATTTTCCTAGCTACCATCAGTTCTGAAGAAGGGTCATCGGACCCGAAATATTAACTCTGATTTTTCTTCACAGACCTGCTGAGCTTTTCTAGCAACTTCTGTTTTTGTTCCTGATTCCTAGGTAGTATTTGACACAGTCCCAAATAATCGACTTGTGAGAAAATTTATACCTTATGGAATAAAAGAGACAATAACAATGTGGATACAAAATTGGCTAAGTTATAGATAAAAGAAAGTTATATCAATGGATGGTTTCCAGGCTGGTAGAAGGTTCGTAGTGGTGTTTTTCAGCGATCAGTCTGGAGATTCTTGCTTTTCGTGATGTACATTAAAGAACAAGATTTTTGTGGTCTACAGACAATTTCAAAGCTTGGAATGACACAAAACTTTGTCACATTGCAAATTGTGAGGAGGACAGTGTGGAACTCCAAAAGAACATGTGGACAGGTTGGTACTGGATGACATTCAATGCAAAAAATTGTGAGGTGATGCATTTTGGGAGGAAGAAAATGGACAACATAAAAAAAAACATACAGTATTAAATTCAGAGGTAGTAGGAACTGCCGATGCTGGAGAATCTGAGATAACAAGGTGTAGAGCTGGATGAACACAGCAGGCCAAGTAACATCAGAGGAGCAGGAAAGGTGACGTTTTGGCTTTGGACCCTTCTTCAGAAATGGGGGAGGGGAAGAGGATTCTGAAATAAATAGAGAGGGGGAGGTGGATGGAAGATGGATAAAGGAGCAGATAGGTGGATGGGAGACAGACTGGTCAAGGAGGCGGGGATGGAGAAAGTAAAGGTGAGTGTCGGTGGGGAGTTAGGGTGGGGGTTGGTCAGTCCAGGGAAGACGGACAGGTCAAGGAGGTGGGGATGAG